TTGATGAATCATCAGGCGAGTAAGGTGTTCTGTAGCATGTTGTCGCACGAGCTCAGGTGTCCAAGTCGGGTTCTTGAGCCGATATTGGTTTTCCAGGTTGCTAAGCTGTTGCTGAATGCCCGGCGGCACTTGTGTGAGGGGGCGAGGTGAGCCCGAAGTGCCGTTGGGCATATGGAGACCACCAGCAGGAGACGTAGCCACCCCGCCACCATTAGCAGCGTTGAATGCCATCATGGCTTGGGCATTGGCCTGAGCATTGGCAATGAAGCTCTGCTGGTTCACACCATTGACGCCATTGACACCGTTGACGCCGTTGGCGCCGTGGACGCCATTAACTGACGCGGGCCGCATGTTTGGCGGAGAGTGAGACTGAGACGCATGAGACGTCGGTGTTCCCTGGTGCATTTGCTGTTGTTGCTGCTGCTGCTGAGACGGTTGCTGTTGCTGTTGCTGCTGTTGGGCCTGCTGGTGTTGCGGCTGCGGCTGCTGTTGATGGACCTGTTGCTGGACTTGCTGTTGAGCTTGTTGTAGCTGAACAGCCTGTCGCTGCTGCTCTGAGATACGCCGCGCTTGCATCATGAGATTAACATCAGGCTGAGGGTTGGGCATCGGCATCCTATGCTGAGCTTGCAGAGCCGCCTGCATCTGAGCCGTCTGCGCCCCGTTCATTGGCATGGGAGGCACAAGGCCACTTATCTGAGCAGGAACCCCGCCCATATTGGCGGTCGGAGCCTGCATGGGCATGCGACCTCGGCCTGCTTGGCCCGGAACAGCGAGCTGATTGGGCATATTGGGACGAGCCATGTTGCCGTTGACTTGACCCGCGACGCCTGCCGGTACTTGGCCTGCGGCGGGTGTCGTAGCGATCTGGGCGGCAACCTGACCTCGTTGTTGCATGGTGATGCGTCTCTGAGCCTCCTGGCGCTGATGGAACTGGGCCACCTTCTCGGCAAGTTGCTGGTCGCGCTCCCACCTCATCAAGCTGTAATCCCTAGGTGTCTTGGTGGGTCCTCTGGGTTGCGCGGCCTCGTTCGCCTTTCGCATGGCTGCCATCTGGGTGGCATGTTGCTGCTTCTGGGCCGCAGTCTCGCGCTTCTTGGCCAGCTTCCTCATAGCATCAATCAGCGTAAGATGCTTCTGATTGCGTCGTCGCTCAACCCTGAGCGGCGTTGACGGTCTGCGTCTTGCGACCGGCGTTGTCGGCGCCGCTGCCTGGCCGGCAGCTTGTTGCTGCGCGATCTGGTTCTGCTGCAAGATGACACGGTTGGCAGCATCAATCCTATTCTGGTACGCCTTGAAGTATTGCGTCTTCTGCATGTCCGTCGGAAGGCCTTCCAGGTTGATCCAACGCTCGAAGCACTCCCAAGGCGTTCTCCGCTCAGCTCCGGATGTGAACACGGATCTAGGCGTGAGAAGGCTGGAAATAAGCGACCAGTTGTATGAGTACTCGCGAACCAGGCTTCGCAGCTCGTCATCCTCTGCCAAAGTCCATTGCGAGGGGCTGCGGCATTCGTAAAAGCTTTGCATGGGCATCTGGTATTCCGCCGGCGGGCGGAACTGATGGCCGGCGTGGAGACGGTCTCTGATGGGCTTCATTTCGGGGTTGAATAGGGCCACATCAGCATTCTGCGGTGGCAACTTCATCCTCTTTGCGGGCTGGGATCCGAACACGACCTTTTCGTCATCATCCTCCTCCTCCTCTTCATACTGGTATCGACTCCTTTTTCTCGGGGGTCCGTCCGAAGAAAGCTTCATCTCGCCTTCCACGTACTTGCTCAGAGGAAGAGCAGGGCGACGCCAGTGCGCATCGGGGTCGAATTCGGGAACAGTGAAATCAAACGCCGGGATCTTGAGTGGTGTTCCGTACATCGGAAGCTCCTGAAGCAGCTGGTCTGCGGTCGGTGAACTTCGAAGCTCAAAAACAACGTCATCATCTTCCAGAGCAAAGATTGCAGACGGGGCTACAGTCTCAAGAATCTCCTCCCGTAACTCTTCGACGTGTTCGGGTGAATCCAGGTCACCTGAAGGTACCAGCTCGGGAGTTGCGTGTGCATCGATCACATCCAACGAGATGTCGGCCATGGATGTATCGCCTTCAGTCTCAGGCTGGACTGGCTGCTCCTTGGGCGGAATGTACGCGGGCACTTGGAGCTCCTTGCGTTCTTCCTCACTTGAAGCAACCCATTCGGCGCAGGCGTGCGCGAGATTCCGAGCAGCAGCAAGTTTCCATTTCTTTTCTTCCCGGAAATCCGTTCTCATCCATTTCATCTCTTGAAGCAGCACATCCAAATGAGATTCCGGGCGGATAGGCTCCGGACACCTCTTTGGCTGTCGCAATGACCATTTGTCATGCTGCTGCAGGTGATACACACGACGAAGCACTCGACATGCCTGATTGTCTTGTATGGCGACGTAGGCATCTGGGGTGGAAACCGTTTTGTGAGACTGGTTGAGGATGACCTCTATCGGCTTCATCCACTTTGATGTTTGCGTAAAACCTTGCACAAAGAGTGGTGTAAAATAGTCGTCTGTCGGCAGAAAACTTTGCTTCTGCTGGCTAGGCACCAAAGACTTGTCTGCTGATCGTTTGGTCTGCTTACCAAACACGACTTCAGAAGGCTTGTTTCTTGCCTTTTCCTTGTCCTTCTTTTTGTTGGCAAATGTCTTTGGCCTCGAAGGCGGAGACTGAGGCGTGGAGGTGAGAGGTGTGAGTTGGCTTGCTGGCATTTTGGCAGTCACTTGAGTCTCTGGGCTTGTTCCTCCTAATATTTCGGCCACAGACTTCTGTCGAATTGTGCCAGAAGCTGTTCGAGTAACCGCTCGCTCTGGATCCTGCGGCGTCTGTGGAGCCTGGTTTGAAGCTTGAGGAGTCTGTGCCTCTGTATGATTGGGCCCAACAGGTGCCTCTTGTACCTCGACGGAAGGTTTTCCCCCAGACTGGTCCACGGCTGGTTGATCCACATCCATCTTCTCAGGAGCCTGAGACTCCTGGCTGTCCGGAATTTCCTTGGCCAACGGGTCCGTAGGCGGCTCGGCGGTGGGAGCAGCAGTCTGGGCCGCGCTTGGTGTAGTGACCTTTGCGGTGGTGGGCTCTGTAGTGTTCAGTTCAACCGCAGGTGGAGCGGGTAGCACAGGTGTCGTGGGAGACGAAGCTTTCTTCGCGGGTGTTTCGATCACAGGCGGTGTTGGCTTAGAGCCCATCGCCATAGACTCCTGCAGAAGCTGCGCTTCTGGCCCATCTGGTATTCTGCCATTGAGCGAATCCTCATCAGGGGAAGCACCGCTTTCGGTTCCCTTGGCCTCCTCTGCACTGTCTGCTGTCGCCCCCTCATTAAATGTCGCCTGCCGTTCCACATACTGAGGACCTTCATTTTCGGGGCTCGTATCAGTCGAAACATCATGCACAGCGGGAGTCGCGGCCGTTTGCGTCGTTGAGCCTGGCGATGAAGCTCCGTCGACTACCTTTGCTGAGTCGGATGGAGGTTTGGAAGCCACAGGGGTCGTATCCTCGGCCTTCTTCAAGTCTGGACGAGCGGGAAGCTGGGCGACGGGTGGCTTCACAACGGATTGCGTAGGCGCATCATTTGGCGCATCGCCCTTTCGTGGTTCGGTCTTCTTCGGGATGCCATTCGGGTTTTCTCGCAGGGGTGTTGGGGCGGGCTTTTCGACAAGTGCAGCACCTGTTGTCTCAGTAGCATCTTGTCGCGATGCGTGCAAAGGATTCTTCGTGGGCACGACTACAGGTGATGGCGGCGGCGGACCTGAGGCAGCCAACGTGGGCGGCTTGGAAGCATCGGGTCGATTCGGCGTCGCCGCAGCAGGCACAGGCGTCGGGGGCTTTGGTGGAAGTGAGGGCGGAAGGGTAAAGGTCGCAGGTGTTCGAGGTGAAGATGCAGCGCCATTCGGATCGCTAGATGCAGCTGCAGCCGGCTTTGGCGACGGCGCAGGAGCGCTCTTCGTTTGGGGCTCGGGGAGGGAAGCGTCTTGCTTTGCGGGAGGAGCAGGCGCTGGCTCGGGTGCAAAGAGGCCAGAGTTATCGAGGGACTGTCTTAGGACATCGTAGCGCAGTTGAGGTCGAGCAGGAAGATTCGCTTCATTGAGCTTTCGTCCTCTGTAAGTCGTGTAAGCGGCGAGCGGCAACAACCAGAGCCATACGCGACCAAAAATATTCAAAAAAGCGCGAGAAGAACAGGGAAACGTACTGTGAGATATCGCAGCCTTGCAAGAACTGGATTTCGGCTGCGGTGGCTGGCGGCGCGTCGGGATTCGCGAAGTCGTTTGTGGGGAGTGCATCGCCCTCGGTCGCGACAGCGAAGAGCTGACGGAGCTTCCGCTTCCTCGACGTTACAATTGAACTAAAAAATGTCAACACGCCGAAAATTATATCGTTGGAATCGCACAATTAAGCTCTACCGATCGATGCAGTAACTGACCTAAATTGATCGCGTTTGGATCGCAAAAGCCTGGAGCGGTCGGCAGGCCCGACCTCAGTCATGTCATGAGCTGCCGCGACATCCGTTTTGGGCAAAAACGGGATGTCGACAATGATTTCCTCGCGTTGGGGAGATGAAATCGACGATCAAAAGTGATGAAAGTGGTGGTGGTGCGTGGTGGCAATTGATCGCGATTGAATTCCGTCGTGGATGGTCGACCAGAAAATTGTCGGTCTACGGGCGCCGCTGGACGGGTGGTGATTCTGGAAGTCACAGGCTGATGGGCAGTTGCTAGATTGGGGGGGTTGATAGACACCCCGGGAAAAATTATTTGTTATCGGAGAATCTGGACACTGTGTCTGGGAGGAGGCCATGGATCCGTCTTTAACAGAATGCCGAAGGGAATGGGCGGTGCGAAGATGAAAGACCGGGGGAGGCAAAAAGGAGATGTACAGTGCGGTGATCTCTCACGCCAGATAGTCTCTCCAATGGGGACGCCTGGACCGGACCCTCCAACTTTTTGCGGCGCACTCAGGCTACGCAGCAACGCTTCCTTGCAGCAGTTTGATGGATGTGTCTGCCCATCGGGTCTGTCTGTTGGGGGTAACTTGGAGACCTGGGGACGACCTGATGTGTTCAGTGCCTTTTTTTTTTTTTTTCCTTTTCTAGCGCCGGTGCATTGCACCCGCCCTTTGCCCGTCCGCACATCAAAAGATGATGAGGTCTTTCAATGTCGCTGGGGACAGGTGTCTCTCTCGCTCTCATACGTTAGGACCTAAGGTGGTGAGTGGCTGCATAAGTGATAAGGCGCTTGTAAGTAAGTACCTTCGAGTCTCAAAAACTTCCCCAGGCTCCCTCCCACCCATTCTGCTGCAATACCTAACAATATGCACATTGGATTGCCGCTGGTTGAAATCAGAACCAGATGGAACACCGCTGAACAGGCCAAAGTGTGCTGCTACCAGTTAAGTCTGCTCTGCCGCTGCTGGCTGGCGACATATTCCGCTCGATGAATCAGTCAGTGAGTGAGTGTGTGCATATTCTTGCCGCCATGCTGTTTTCGTCTAGACCAACCCAAATTCTCCCACGTTGTGTGTGGTCCGTCTGGCATCCAATCTCATCAGCATCCCTGCTGTGGTCACATTCCACCGGTGCAAGCGTCTTGCGCTTGCTGTTTGCTTGGATGCTGGAAGTCCCAGAAACCCAGGATGCCCGGGCTTGGACTCTTGGAGCTTTATTTTTTCTCTCTTCTGCCATCGCCTCTTACCTGGTCGCAGGCATGAAGAGCCCACTCTTGATGTTTCCAGCCTCGGGGCCCCTTGCCTGCGAGGCTCGCTTCCAGCAATGCGACTTTCTTTGCTGGAAAGCTGTCGGGCTGGGTAGTGGTGGAAGATTTCGTTTTTTCTGCCTTTGGGAGATCGTCATCGCTGTCGATCGCAGCACCAACAGGCCGTGAGAAGACGCCGGCGCAGTGTAAATGATGACAATTCTCATCTTCCAACCTCACTTGAGGACCATAGAGATGAACACCCTATCGCACCTGGCCCTTAATGAGACGAAATTTTCGACTCCAGAATCACTTGATTCGATGAACGTTGGCGAGCAAAGCAACTTTCTGATGACCGTTGCCCGACAATCTTGAAGTCGGGCAACCAGGATAAGACCTGGAGCATGAGTCGGGGCCCATGGACGCTTTGTGAGTGCTCGTCCCAAAAACTCCAAAGCCCAGCGCACACCCGAATTCAATAGTCTCATCGCGGAGTCGCGGGGCAAGCTCTGCTAAAAAAGGTTCGTGAGTTTCGAGTCAGTCGCATACCTCCGAGTTGCCGCGCTGGAAGAGGAAAAGTCAGCAACTTGAAAAGGTTCTCTCATTCGGGAACGTACAATTCATGTTTGTTAGTCGTTCGTGTGCCACAAAGTGCCTCTCATAAGACAGTCAGCTAATACTCATCCTGCACTCCATCGAACTGCTTGGCTCGTTGAATGCGACATGCTTTGGGTATGGCGCTCGTGCACTTTCAGTAAGACCTTCACTCTCATTGTTCGTCGATGAGTGACTTATGATCAGTTCAGTGCAGCCATCGAGCGCAGGTTGTATCTGGTGATATTGAGAAGGTATTCAAATGAGCAGGTAATCATGCTCTTTGAGAGACTTCTCATAAAAAGCGATTGCCGTGAGTCTGGCGAACACTCTGGGTGAGAGGCTCATCTCATAGGCTGCCAAAGATTCGATTGTGAGAGGGCGTAGTTGATCCGTTCCGGAAGCCGGAAGGTTGAATTTGCAGGTTCCAGATTGTGCGTCTGCCAAGACATCGCATTCTCTCAGAAGAGAACTCTGAAAAGAGAAACGAAACGGACGTCGGTAGCTTGTTTGAGCTTCCCCCGCAGGTATCGGAAACAACACACAGAGAGAAATAATCAAAGAGAGAGAGATTCAACGACAATGAGTTAAGCGATGGTTATTCCTTATCACGTTGAACATGGAGGCTGAAATCAAAACATGTGTGGGCGCACCAAATCACCCAAGCACACAGCCCGGTGAAAAGAAATCCGCAGTGGGAAGTTTTGTGTCTGGTTTGCTTGATGCTATTCCGTCCCCCCAGCGGCCCAATGACAGGCCCGGCTTTTTTGTTTCTTACACAACGTTAAATCCTGCAAAGTTATGCAAGAAAACAGCATCGGATTGGTCGGTGCCTTTGAAATGCCGATTTGGGTGACATCACGATTCCCACTCCACGAGTTCGCCCTTGCCTTTCAACAGGGGTAGAGGGGGGAAATTGTAGCTGGCCAATCGAATGTTGCAGTCCCCGTTCGACGATGCGAATTATTGTTGTAACTCTGTCATCACCACTCGGCCAAACCAGGTCCCAATGTGGGCAGCGTTCCCGCGGCCCCGTCTCTTGTCAACTAAAGGCGGGAAGACTATTGTGCGTAGCTCTCACAGGTAGCTGTCCCTTTAGGCCCCCATACTAACCGTGCCGTACTGGTTTCCCAACTCGGAGCAACCCGTGCGACCGGACTGCCTCGGCGCAACCCCCTCCTCCCCGAGTTCGTGTCTCTCTTTAGGTGTCCCGTCGGGCTCTAACTCGCGCCGTCCTTCCGATCTTGAAAAGGTCAACTCCGTGCCTTAGTGTAGTTATACAACTACCCTCCGTGCCTCCTCACCGTCCAAGTGAAAACATTGTGTTGACCAACTCATCCAACATCGCTCAACGTGACATTCAAACACCGCCGCCAACATGTCTTTCTTCGGTCTGGACCTCGCCCAAAAGGGGCTCTCCCTTTACACTGTCAGTAAAGTATCCATAAGCGATGTAGCTTGACCACCAGGCTAAACCTCGCGTCCAGATTCCGGCCGCCTTTATCATGGCGATGCTGCCCAATGTCTACGCCGTCTCCGGAGCAGGAGCACACTACGACCTCTGCAACCCGAGAAAGCTCCAAACTAGTGTCGTGGCCGATGACAAGCTAGACAAGATTGTAAGAACAGCAACCCTTCCTTTCAGAGGGAACCTTGCCCTCCTCCCCAGATACCGTAGCCCATCATCTTACACGAGGCTGCGAAATCTCTAGGCCAAAGCCCGCATTCTCCGCGCCAAGGCCGCATCGGAGAACGCCTTTGAAACGCTCGGCTTCTACTCTGCCGCCGTGGTCGCCGCCAACTTCGCCAGGGTAGACGCCGAGACCGTTAACGTCTTGACACTGGGCTACATCGCCTCCAGGGCCCTGTACAACATCATCTACGTCCGCCTGCAGGACAACCGTAGCTTCGGCCCCCTGCGAAGTCTCGCTTGGCTTGCCAGCATCGCCATCACCGTTACGTTGTATGCTAAGGCAGCTACGCAGTTGGCGTCTTCCTAAGCCGGGCCATTTGATGTCAATAGCTCTCAGCGGCGCATGGTACAACCTTTGCCGCGTTTAATGAAACTTTTCTCTTCGCCAATTCAAGCAGCTTCACCAGTGTCATACGTTGCATGTTCACGTGCAGTAAAATGTTATTTGTATGAGCCTGTCCTTAATCAGCGTCAATGTTGCATAATGAAAAGCGGGAAGCAAACGGCCTTTGGCGGGCGCACAAAGCTTGTTCTTCAAGTTGACGGGCTTCTTTCGGGACGCACGATCCAGCGCCATCGTCGTACATGGTCAGAGACAGCAGTAAGCCACCTGTGAAAGTGACAGACATCGTGACGATGTCCATCCGGAAGGGAAATGGTTCAGTTCATTCTGAGCTCGTACGAAGCTAGCATGACTAGAAAACGTGGGTTGAGGTCACCTTACACCAATCCCATAGTGGAACGATTCTGGAAAGCCTCATCGTCAGCCCTAACATTTCAAAGCTAAGCTTCTTTGAACTTCAGAATGTTGGTCCAACAGTGGCGGAAGTATCACAATTCCGTATCACAGCCTCCCGTCTCGTGAGACGGCACTCTCACGGCAGAATCGGTCTCAGAATGGGCTCCTTCTGTTCTACATAACTCAACTACTCCTTCCGTGAGAAAATACTGCATCTAAGATAGAAGAATGAGGCAACTGCGAAGCTCATTCATGAGTCTGAAACTGCCTTATCAACTCAACTTCTTTCCGTTTCAACACACTTACACCTGCAGTGTTCTTTTCTTCAATAGTAGACATTTTGATTCGATTTCAGCAGGAGGTTAAAGACCTTCCGCTGCGCTGACTTTGTCGTTTGAACCCTGTCTCACACCACCATCACCAGCGTCTTTTCCGATCCTTCTGCGGCAGTCAACTCGCGATATTTCAACTTCACTCTTTTCGGCCATTCTTTCATCATAGATCAAGTCTCAGCTTAGAAAGACGAGTCGAACTGTCATTCTCTACACTTCGTTCCTTCTCGGTAAGCCCCAGGTGAAAGTACAAAAGCCAGCTCTAAACGCAACACACACTGACCAAACATCTAGCCTTCTTCACCAAGTCCAACGCAGTCGCTTCAATATTCACGATGCGTGACTTCATCATCTTCCTCACCGTTTCCACGGTGCTCTTGCTGGCCGGCGCCGGTCTTGTAGCTGGCATCCACGACAATTACGTTGCCAGTCACGCTACTTCTACTCAGTCTATCGCCACACCCCAAACCGACTTCATAACTCTCACTGGAACCGCTTCCAGGGCCACTCATTTGAGATCCTTGTTGCCCCAAGGCACCCTCGTCGTCTCCCCCATCAAGGACAACGTCAGAGCAGACTCCGTCCCCACGAGTTCGGCGATCCCTACTACCACTATTGATTGCAACCACGAATGGTGTCAGGATAGCACCTCTCTTTGCGCCTACTGGGCTGGTATCACTGGCTGGGATCCTACTGAAGGCCCGATTCCTGGCGAGACCGTTACCTCCATTGGCAAGTGCAGCATCGTTCCTACCCAGGCTGGAAATCGAAAGCGCGATACTATCAACAATATTCTCATCACCTTGGCGCCTACTCCCTCGGTCAACTGCGAGTACAAGTATTGTGACAGCAACACCCAGTATTGCATGTACTGGGCTGGTGTCACTGGCTACGACCCTTCTCTCGGTCCCATTCCTGGCATGACACGTACCTCTCTCGGAGCCTGCCAGGCGCCTCCTACAGCTGTTCACAACGACACTACCGTGCCGACAACTATGGTGACGAAGACGTGCAAGAGTTCCTACTGAAGGCAAGAAGTCAACA